TTAAATTTGAGTTAATTTTTTAAAAATAAAAATTTAAGGTAAAAAATGACATCAATATTTTTTGAAGTGGTGATTTTGTTTTAATACGGTAATTTTTTAGGTGGAATTTGTACTTGTTGCCAAAAGCAAATGTAAAAGCCACTAAAAATTATAAAATATTATTTTTAAAAATATTAATTCTAATTTTTTTTTAACATGGAGGAATTTGGAGGAAGGAGGAGAATAACTGCTATTGCAGTGAATTGAGCTTTTACATTTGTCTCGAGTTGAGATGAAGTTGCAAGTGCAAAATATTGATTCTATTTAATTTTATTGATAAAAAATGGTTAATAATTATAATTATTAATTAAGATAATAAGTAAAACAATTGATATTTATTAATTAATAAATTAAAAGCAACTAATTGACAAATTAATGTTTTTAAGGTTAAATGTCATTTTTAATCCTCAACTTTAAAGTTTTACGTAATTTTTATCTTTTAATTTTTTATATAATTTTTTAATCTCAATTATAAAAATATACTTTTAAGTTTTTTTATTAATTAGTCTGTTAACTTTGTTCTAATAATATGTATATTTTTGCCTTTCAATTTATAAGAAATATATATTTTCATCCAATTTAAAAATTAAAAAATTAAAAAATATGCATATAAAGACTAAAAATATACATATAAAAATGCATATAAAAATGGATATGGGTCACCGTTTATTGAAATATGCACATTGGTAGGGATAAACAGCATCTTCCGCTACTGGTGGGCGACTCACATCTTTCTTGTATTGTCCCCTTCTCTCCAAGTTGCCCCAAGAGTTCTAAAGTTTTGTGCTTTCATAAACAGCATCATGTTTCTTTTGAAAATAGGCAATAAAAGAAACAGCGTCATGTGATCTTGAGGGATTCGTTCCGTTGGTATATACAGCTGGATAGGTTACAGTCAAAAACCCCATTAAAACAATGGGTTGAAATGACCCTTTGCCAGAAAAATACGAGTAAAGTCAAATTAATATGAGAAACAAAGTTATCTGAAGATAATGTTTTAACTGTTATGGACATAAAGTGTAGGATTGAAGCTTCCAAACCAAGCAAATTAAGACTGTACGTACATATGCACATGAATTGAATTGCCGAAGATCACAGATCATTTCCTCTTTACGATTCTATGTGTCTGTGTGATCAATTCTATGTGTCTGTGTGATCATTGAGTTTCCTTTTAACTTTTCTACTTTTTGGCTTTTCTTCTTAACGCTAGGCAGCCATTTTTTTTTTTTTTTTTTAAGTTAGAACTAAAATGATATTTATATTACTATTAGGAAATGCTATAGTTATAATATTACGAGGTATTATAAACTTATAACATGATAAGGGACAAAAAAATTCATTAAAAAATTAAAGGTTTAAAATTAGGTAAAATTTTAATGTTAAGAAACCAAAATTAACATATAACTTTTATTGTTATGTACAAAAATTTTAAAAAGAATTATTATTGTTGATTAATCAATATTTTTATTACTTTAACCATTAATTACAAAAAAAAGTTAAAAGGATAGTTACTAATTATATATCCATTGATGTTAAGGATGGTTACTAAATCTAAAATTGACTAAAAAATTTACTTTCATCATTGTAAAATCACTTTGTGAAAGCTTGTTTCATGTTGAATTTAGTTGAAAACAAATTTAAGTAATTCATAAGCAACTCAACTCATCTTATAATTTTATGACAATATTATACTTTTCATTGGCCTTGAATATTTTCAACAACAATTAAGGACCTGTCACGCCCCAAAACCCAAATTCCAAGCGTGACAAACGCCATGCACTTGTGAGAGGGTCCCACAAATACACAAGGCTCGAAACTTATTCAATTCACAATTTGATACTATCAAAATCTGAAGATCAAATTTCATAATTTGTTGTAATATTATAAATCTCCAATAAAGTCCAATTTACAAGATCATGATCTATATCTAAAATCTATATCGATCTCGAAATGGCTAGCCTTCTAACTCGTCACTTCCCTTGGTTTCCCCATCCTCGGTTTCACTTTCTGCAATAGTGGATAAGGAAAAACTATGAGATAAACTCAGTAAGTAAATATGGAGTACCCTTAATTAAACTTATAGCATGCCAACCAGTATAATCATGAAAAACAGATACGATACGAAAATGAAATAGGCGTCCCTTCTATAGGTCACGGGCAATGTTATAAACCTCCCACTGGCAAGCACACGATTTACTAGTGTATAATCCCACTAGCAGGATAACAGAAATGAACCGATTCTATCAGTAACATGTCGACATGTGCTAGCATTTATAAACCTCCCACTAGCGGGCACACGAATAACATGACCATATTGGAGACAAAACAGGCAGAATTTAACAGAAAATCATACTTCACCAATCACTTTCAGATCATTGGGACAATCAATTAAATCTCAAGTAGGCATGCTCACTTTAGTGAAAAGCATAAAAATTTCACTTCAAATCAGTCATGCTCGTGTAAAATGAGTTTAGTCCCATCATCATTTCAAAAACAAGTCAAAACATATTTTTAAAACCTATACGGGCATTACCATAAATTTACTTACCTCAAATCGCATAACATAGAAAATTCACTCCATAAACTGAAGAGTCAATCTCAGTGCTAAACTGACAGAACGATCAAAAACCTAATCAAAATATTTAAGGATTAATTACCGTACCACAGATTCAAAAGTAAAATCACCATGACTATGCCCTAATCATGATGCTACTCCTATCAATCTTCACATGATTAGATATCTCCAAAATTTATTCTTATATCACAAACTAAACATTTAAATCTCCGTGAATTGTTAATTGTTGGCCATTACACATGAACAGTATCGTAAACAGTAACTGCACTTCCAAAAATTGGCCAAAACACTAGCTAATTGACGGGATTTTTCTCCAAAATCTCACAGCAGTCAATTAACACTCAATCACGTAAATTCCACTTGAATTAATGCTTAAACTTTGTCCTAAAGCTACCGGAATTCATCCCCTAATTACTGCAGATTTTCGGACATCACAAGGCAACAAATTAAATGGATAATTTTAGGCTTAAAGGGCTGTCCATACCAGAATTTTCCAGCTAAAACCGGACTGCAGTTGGGGGCAGGCCGGCGACAATCTGCAGGAGAAAAATCACGCAATCCACGGAAAATTGGAGAAATCAAGAGGGTTTAGAGTAAACCCAAGCCAAATCAAGTAAGAAAAGGGGAATTTCGAGCTATTTCTTACCAAAAAAACCGAGCGATTCGCCCCCACAAAGCAGGAGCAGCCGGCGGTGAGGAGGAGGAGCAGAGCAGATCTGGAAATTCTGCAGAGGGGAGGGGATTTCCAAGCTTAAATCTGGTTCTTGAACAAGAAAATGAAGGCAAAAACCAAGCCTCTTACCGGTTTTCTCAAGAGGAGAGGCGTCGGGGCTGGGCTTCTTTCGTTCGGCTGCAGGGGGGTCGGGAAAAAGAGCAGGGGCGCGCGGGTCTGAGGAGGAAGAAAAGAAGGAAAAAAAAAAATGAGAAAAAG